GTTGATTTTCATGTGATAACAGCCACATTGAAGCGGACAGATCCTAACCATTGTCATAACGGTGAGAAGCCTCTATTCTTCCATAATTAAAGAGTGAAGTGCATAACATCCTTGACGAAGCAACACATTGGTCGAATCATGTTGTTAATTAGTCATACAATTAAAGACGATCGTCATAACGAGCAGTTAATTCGCGCATCCATGCTCAGCAATGACGGAATTATTAAACAATGTGTTAGGTTAAGCAAATTAGTAGATATTTTCCGGATGGCAAAATCGTTAGCACATCCTAAACTACACACACGCGTTAGTGGGCTATATGCCGGTAATAATCATAACTTGTACATATTGTAGGCAAAATATATAAATATATCATCGTAACAGATTGAAGTTTCTAAACTACGAACTCGTCAGTATGTGTCACGTTGCTAACTCTAATTAGCATTCTAACGCTAGCGGTCAAATAAACGGTAAGAAATAACGACGTTCGGGCTATAAGTTTTACGACCGTTTCTAACTCAGAGATACTAGCCGCGAATACAGCAGGTGTTTATACAATTGCGTAGGGAGATACAAGGAGAGATGGACAGTTAAATTGACAGACGGACACACAACACACAAAGAAGATAATCACTCTCGTTCTATCTACGTCTAATCTACTGTTCTATGAATTCTACACAGAAGCCGCAGGCGAAACGTCGCAGCGAATCGCCTTGCCGCTTTTCAAACAATCTTTTCGAAAAAACTACTTCATCTATATATAAATTTAACTTATTATAAATTCAGAACAACACTCAAAAAACTTGTCATACACGAAGATACTTGTTACGATCGCTCGAGGTAGACTATTTTAACCCGAATATGTAACTATGACCTAAACATCTGAGAATGCCAACTACATTTCTTGATAATAAATATCAATTGGTGTAATTTAATATAAAAAACATTTTTCTCGTGTATTTTGACAACATCGTATTAAAGTATATGGATATGTTACTATCGTATGACGGAAATACGTTTTCGGCAAAACTTATGAAAAGTATTGAAAGTGTAGGTGGGCACTCCCAGCGTTATAACTCTAAATTATTTACTCTCAATATTAATTACAAAGATTAGTCGACAACGATCTGTTTTGTACTACAAACTGCTTCTAACCAGAAACTATATATATATATATAATCGTTTAACTCGATTTATCTAAATTGTCTACATCTTTGTACCACCACGGGAAGATCGGAATGTATCTCTTTCAATAACGATACTTGTCGTTTTTCGTTTAATTACAGCTATCGTTTCAGTCTTCATGTTTGATAGTTCATAAAATAAGCAATCGACCCGTTGTGGTTAAACTAGGCGTTTTTACTAGACAATATATATTAATTAATATCACTTTATATATACGGCGATGTTTCTAAAAGATAGTAGGTGTAGCTAGATGGTACATTACTCGCCCCTAGGTGACTGCATCTTCAACGAAGTCTTCGTCATCGATCTCGGCAATGGTTCCGTCCCGGACGCCTTCCCTCCATTTTTGCGATATTCAACTCGAATTCGTTTGCCTCACGAAAAAAACTGACCCATAGCCGCGCAACGTAATGAGCAAAATCGTGCGGCACGATATTACGAAAATGATAATAGAAAGCGTGAAAATAATAAAGATATTTCAGACCTTATAAGAAAAATAATATATACATACAAATCATACAACGTGTAAGAGATTACGGAAAATATTTATAAACTAAAGTAACCCTTTGGTACGTTTAACACTTTCGTGTAACACTTTTGATGGGCTATGGGTCGCGCGGGAAGATCAAGAGTGCTTTTACGAGACTGATTTCAGTTTTCACTAGAACTACATACAACCAGTTTGGATACATGCATGCTCCAACCGGCGCGCAAAGTAGCGGTCAACAGTCAAAGAGTGATAAATATTCATAAGTAGAATGCTCAAAAAGGTATGAATATACATTTACTTCTTTGATTAGTAAAAAGGCTCGTATTCTCTTAACTATAACAGTCTAGTCCTGAATCAACTGTCTAATATAAAGATCACCTTTAATGTCAGTGGGAAATAAGAATCTGATGACCTCGTTTAACGTTAAATACAATGAGAATACGAGCTAAAGTATCGAGTATCGATAGCTTTAAAGCAAGCTCTGTAAGTTGAGATTTTCCGGCATTTTGTGACTGGCCGCGAGTTCGTTTTTACTTTAAAGAGAATCCTTTCCGCGGTACATCAAGGTTAGGAAAGGATCTATAACAGTCCTCTTGTCATGCGACGTGTTATGCACACAAATCTCCCATAACACGCTCTTTCAAACAGACCTATAGACATCAGGCTAAGTTCTAGTGAAAACTAATGTTAGGCTCGAGTACTCATATGGATAATAGAACGATGGAAGATCTGGATATAACTATGTATACTATGAGCTAGGCAGCCATCCAACACCAGTACGATATACGAGATTTAAACGTATATGCGTATACGTAGAAATCAAAATGGCTCTCGTTACTTGTTAGACTATTCTAAACACTAAACGTATATTTATATGTATATATAAATATATATTGAAAGATTCCTGACCGATCAGAGATTATCTCGATACGTATTCATGCGGTAAATACGAGAATATCGTGATGTGTTACCAATTTTTTTTTATATTTGCTATATGAGTATCTAGGTGTCTCTCTGAGTTGAGCAATATGTGCACTGATTCTATTTTTGAAATACAGAATTGCAATTCGCCATTTATTTGTACGACAGATTATATATACGGAATGCCCCGAGAAATACCATATATGCGATACAGCACGGTATTATTATATCTACCGAATAACTCTATCAATATTCCATTGAATAACTTGACACATATTTCTGGAAATAGCTTCAATACATATTTATGACTCGGACTCGTATGAATATCAAAGTTTTTTCGAAGTTATGTGAAATTAAATAATCAGTTGATTGTTGGTGAAAATTGTTTTTGATACAATAATTTTCCCTGCAATTGATCTAAGAAAAGAAATTTGTCCCGAGAAACATTTTATTGAGAAGTCATGGTTAAACATTTCTCTATATATGTCTTTTACCGTAGTTAGAATTGTTTTACGCGCGCGGTAGAGTTATCGAAGAAGCGAATTAGATTGTAAAAAAATCAACTTTCTTTTGGCGTGTTAAATAGCGATTAAGAGCGACTCTAAAGCAGATTTGAAAACATAGATACGTAGTAACAAATGTAAGGAGAACAAACCAAACTCGAGGTAAAGGCAAGAAACTAATTCAAACTTTTACTGCTGCAGCGAAATCGTATAAGGCTGTGATTTACATCGCTTCTTCGATACTTACCCTTTGCCAATCGTATTACGCCGATTGAAGAACCAATTATTCCCTTAATGAAATTGTAACGCAATAAAATATCTCATGCCGTTACACGGTATGGCGCGGTCATTTTTTGTGACGATAAAACTGGTTATCGGGCGATCATATTAATTCATTTTAATCGCCTGTTCGTTGAAAGCGCCGATCATCCGATTCCCAATTTAGTGGAAAGTATAACGTAATATTAACGTAACGATACACTGCACATATATCATATTACGCGACCTCTATATATACGCAGATTTATTTTAATATGATAGAACACGTCTATAATGATGGAACTAATAAATTGTTAATTGCCATAGATTTTGTACCAATTACAGGATTGATAAGGTTCTTTGAATTTCATATATATATACAAATGTAAATAGGGCTCGAGAGGATTTTTGCAACGATTTTTATAGATAAACTACATGTTAAATTGACATAAAGGAAGTAGGACGGCGCGGATATTTTAATAATACGTATCCTATATTTTCGCCGCGAACACGAGAGAGAAAGAAAAAGTACATTCGTATGTGAATCGATCGGTTTTTAAAATCGCACGTGGTGAGAAAGACGAACGAGACAAATACAGATCGCGTAGACGATACAACGAACAACGGATGCACAACTAACATACGGTTTTCTGTTTCCTAAGCATTCCATAAAAATAGATATATATATATATAGAATATACATATGTATATTTATATACGAAAGAGTTCAACCAATAATAAACACTATCGGTGACAATACTCGAACTATGGGTACCTAAAGTAACTAGATAGCAACAATGTCTCGTATTCAATCAGCATTAAGTAATGTATGAGAGTGGTAGTGATGTGAAATTGGATTCAGACCAAGCAAGCGAATACGAATAAACATGAATGAACAGCTTGCTTCAATATTGTACTGCTGGCACTGTTCGCATTCATTGAAACAAGTTATTCATTCGTGTCTGTTCGCTATCGTCTACTTGATTTGGATACAGATTAAGAAAATGTTGATTTGTACGTTTTGAATAATTAATTCGTTAATAATTAAACAAATAGAAGCTATCATGTATAATATTCGTCAATGAGTAATGAATTTTCATAACAATTTTAGCAAAAGTAAGAATTCGAATATTGAATTTTAAATATATAATTTACGGATTCATTATTATCAAAAGCAGATTAATATTCAGTTGTTATGAATATCATCAGTTGGAAACGTAGTAATAAAAATATAATAATATTAGAGATATATATTAGAATCAAGAAAATATCTTTCGATAGAATTTTAATGCCGATTTCAAATACAGCGTATACCATTATAACTTATTAAACTTTTCTCATAAATAATTTTTAAAACTTTCTAAAATAACAACAGTAGAACATTATACATTTTAAATTTTCAAATTCATTCACGATTCTTATATACGAAAAAAGTTTTGATACACACGTATGTACAGCGATGTTGACGATGTTGAGTATAGTGTTTACAGTGGATGAGTACGTATGTGTTTGTGCAATACGTGAACGTGTAGGTATGTGGAATCTGGGTATGTACTACGTACTACGGATTACGGTTACCGTCAACACGAGCGAGAACACGAGAACTTGGTGGAACAACCTGGCACTTTGGGGTTGAAGCTTACCGGTGCAACCCCCGCTGGGGCTCACGGACACTCGGCCTACCCTTGGCCCCACTGCGCGGTACACGACCGCTCCTACCCAACAAGAGACATCACCGATCTTACATGATATAGAAATGTCCGTCAATCATACTAAGATAATTTTATCATCTATTGATAATTGGACGACTTGGTGCTGGATTAAGTTTCGCACAAAACTCATAAACACACACACAAATTCAAGTTTTCTTTATGTTATTATGTGTGAAAAAATAGATATCTTTTATGATAATGAAGTCTATAAATGTAGCAAAAATGCTTATTCTTTTGCTTATTCTTATAATTTTTTAATTTTTCGAAAAAACTTAACACTTCAATTTAAAAAAAAATTAATTGCGAATGTAAAAATGTATCAAGTAAAAATGTATAAAAATATGTATGTATAAATTAAATGAATTATATTAATAAATAAAAAAGTTCGCGATTGTGTACACGGTGTGCATACGCGGTCTATAATTAAATGAGAAATACAAATATGTACATATGATGTTAAAATTACCACTATATAAATATCTGCAATTGCTGTTTTAATAGTATTTGATAAATATGAAGAAAGTTCTCTACATTACCAAGATTCTCTGTACATAAATCTTTTTTGCTTTTATTATTTATATAATTTATGTCTTACACCCAGAGAAAAGTTTCTTCGATTTAAAAAAAAATTTGTTTGAATCAAAGAAATTTGTCATTGCTATATGGTTAAAGAAAAGTCTCTTTGATTTGAACGTTATTTCTTGAAACACGGAAAAAACAGTATGGTTGATCTGCACAGAAATCTGGTGATGCCAACCAGATTAAATAGTAAAGTATGGAGCAACTATTTATGTGGTTGCTTGAATCATAGTACAATGGTTAGGTCAGATCATGTTGCAGTAATGACGGCATTTCACATGTACGTATTTTTAATTGTGAGCGTGGTGAGTCGCTTTTGCTTTTTGAAATTGCAACTTAATTTATAGCATGATGTAACAAGAAATTCTTATTAATAATTTAATTCTTATTATTATACATCATGCTTTATAATGTCACGATTGACGCAACTATACGGATATATAACTTATCCATAGGCCTGTTCTTTTTGGCTGAACTTTTACACCAGTTCATCTTTCTTCCTCTTCTTTCCTCCTGGAGAGAAAAGGAAGAAAGATGAACTGGTACAAAAGTTCAGCCAAAAAGAACAGACTTCATAGTAAATGATCCTCCAACCAAGTTTTGGTTGTCACAACCAGATCGCGCCTAACTACATTGATGTAGTTGACACATCAAAGTAAATAAATCGTATCAACCATACACATTTCTATCACATAAAGATAACTCGGATGATGTTTCTTATATATTGCAACTAAATGTTTTTAGTTATGTGAACTCTATATCTTTTTTTCCGTGAATCAAATAAATAAATTTTTCTTTGATTTTTGATGAATGCCATTTCTTGAAATCAAGTAAATTTTTATTTTCCTTAAAGGTATTTTCACTTCAACTTAAAAAATCAATGGAGAAGAACCGATTTTTCAATTTAAACAATTTTTCTCTGGGTATACAATGCACTTAATTCAGCACCGTATATTCCATATTATTTTTCTAGATAAAGTACTTTATACTTGCTCACGTACTTGTGATATTCCAATTTTTTCAAATGTCCTATTATCTATGAGACACACGATGTCAATAGAAAGAGAAAGAGGGAAGGGAGGGAGAGAGAGAGAGAGAGAGAGAGAGAGAAAGAGAGATTGAGTCTCTTCATTACCACAAGTTCCCTTCACATGTGTACCCTTAATTTGAAGTTTTTGGCTTCAAATTGTATTTGAAAGCATACTTAAATGTTAGAATATGTGTAATTATTTTGAAGTTGGACTTCAATGTACCATATATGTATAAATATTTGATTAATTTTTGATTAATTAAATTTGAAAAAACGTCTTAAGTATTAGAGAGATATTACATCAACTGTTTCTTATGAAATTATAAATCACATTGTACTGATTTATGTGAGGTGACACCTAGCTCATAGTAGAGACTCAAATTAAAGTATGTTATATCATTGGTCGTGCTACAAGAAAGATGATAAGAGTATCCTCGTTAAGAGAAGAGGTGCATTTGTTTTGTCTTTCCTTTCCTTCTTCCAGCACATATAGTATCGAGAAATTTTATCTTCTTATGTTTTTTCGTTCATTGCGTGGTACTTTTTATTTGTTACAGACATTTACTATTCATAATTCTTAATCGTTATAATAATAGAGCTCCAGAGAGAATCGTTACATAGTGGTGTTAATATGTATACGCGCGTGCGTAAGTGAACTCACTCTGTCATTCAGTTCCAGAGCGATCTCTGACGGGCATCAAGTGTTACGTTATTGAGTACCCATGAGACGATTACAAAACTTTCGCGGCTGCAAGTTCTCTCTTCGTCACCTTCTTACTCATCGTTACTTATCGTTGGTAATATAATTAATCGTCCGAGCCCTCATCGATCGCCTGTTAAATTAATTACTTTCACGAGTGTGTTTTCTCTTAAGGCGCGTATAGCGCAAGCCGAGGAAAGAAGCATCGTCGGAAGCATGTTTCATTCTACACCGTTCGAAATCTTATGCATTAAGAAAGATTGGCGATTGTCGAATAAGACGATTTCGCGTGCAAGAAAACTTGAAGAGATTTTCTGAGCAACTTGTAAAAAATCTCACTTTATCCGGTAATAATAACTTAAAAAAATACATCCGCTTGTGTGAATTTTACAAAGTACGAATATTCTAAGTGTGCGATTATAGAATGAGCTCACTGAATACCAGTCATCCTTAATCCATAAGTACCATAATAGAGTCTTATGTGTGTAACTCAAGTTTCATTGTCTCGCATTCTGTTGGATTTTTACTTTTTGTACTAAAATATCTAAAATTGCTCTTAAATATGCTTTTTTATGATATTCTTAGATTTAAAAGTTATGGAAGAATCATTATAAATAAATGTTAGAGGAAAGAAAAATATTAAAGAACATTCTTATATGTATATTAAATAATAGTCACGAAAATGTTTCAGGAACATATTTCAGGAAAAATATTATAATTTTTACTCTGGTACTTAAGGATTAATGAACGTGTTAGAAGTTTGTTGTTTAAAAACGAAATGAATTTATTTATTGAACTTCTCCCATTTCCTAACCCTTAATTGACGTTTTAATTCAATCCCAAGCGTAACCCGCGAGTTCAATCGGCTTCGGAACTGCACCTTTCTGCTCTCACAAACATTATATTATCTTGGACGGTATATTTTCTCATATTTCAAACATTCTCCAATTGCTTTTTAATTTCGCGTATTTCATAGCGACGTTCTTCAAGTAGTCTTGCGTAGTACGCGCTTCAACATCGTTAGATTATTTTCTTTGTGAGTGCAAGTGGCATCGTGAGAGTCATTCTCGGGATCGGGCAAAGTATTATTTTTATCCACGCGCGATCATAATGATTTAACAACAATCTTACGAATAGCAACAATCGGACTATAGCTCGGTAACGTTAACCGCGCCGTTCTGAGAAAATTTAAAGAAAATTTTGACATTTACTTATGCGAAAATGCGTACTTAGACGAAGTGTGAAGTTTATGAAATATACAAAAGAATATCACTTACCGCGAGATTTTTTGTTTTCGGACAGGACGGTGATGTTAACGCGAGCGAACTATAGCCGCGCATAAAAGTATCAATAATATTATTTAAGCATTTCGTGTCGTTAACAAATGTATAAGCTCAGGACATAAATGTCTTCTCTTGGGTTTACTCCTTATTGTCTCGCTCATAAATTCTAATTGTAAGATCTACATTCGCATCATGCGTTTAGCACTGGATGTAACTGTTTGCTGTTTATTGTTAAATAAGCACTGGATCTTTAGTGGATGTAACAGTCTCTGATGCTTAGATGAATAACAATACTGAGGTAATTTAGATAGATAATTACATGTACACAAAGCTCAAAATTAGGCAACCTTTTATCTCTAATTTAGGACAACATTAAACACGAGCTTTAAAGTATACAAATTGTTAAAACATTTCCGACGTTTTAGCACTATATTCTTAATAATATATTGAATGCGATTTTTTTTTTTCATATAGATTAAACATAACTGAAAATTAGATGATTGCATTACGGCTAAACACAGCGCAAATCGATATGCGAATGCAAGCCTTTAACAATTTATGTTTCAGCAACTCGCAAAAATGATTCTAGCGAGACAATTCGCGGGAACGAGCGTAAATCTGGCTGTTCTCTTCGTGAATCTGCGTTCTCCATAACGTCTTAGGGACGAGGACGGACAATTCGCTCGTCGCCCTTTTGTCTCTCTTCTAATATGCGCGCGAGACTCTTATCGTAACATATATTTCGTACACACATCTTTTTTATTCATTTTCTCGCCCTGCGATCCATACAGATGATTCGTAGGACCTTCATTAACGACAACTCGAGAATACACAACGGAATCCAAACTCGATCACAGCTCTCGCGAACGTATAATACGTTGCGGTATGGGTGGAATAATGCCAGAGGGATGCGGGCCAGCGAGGGGTAGGAAGGATGAAACCGAGAAAGCAAGGAGAAGAAATTAGTGCGACGACACCGCGTCTCCTCCTATTTACCGTTAATAAATCCGCGCTGTAATCAATTACTCTTAATCTTCGTTATACGTATGAAGGTAAATGGATACATGCAATAGTGTAGGAACGTAAAAGTACCGCATCACACGTACGATTTACGTGTGCATTATGCATAATCTACTTTCCCCTTTTTAAAAAATATCTTTAACATCCTTAATTAATCTTAACTTCATTTTATTTCTTTTGAGTGAATCGTCGTGTGAGTGATTTAAAAAATTTAATTGAATAAAAATCTGTAATGCGTGACGCGCGTAATAAGAGTAAAATTAACGATATGTACGAGGACTTTAATGTATATCCCCGATATGACTGTTATCATCGCGCGTATTAAATCTATTTAATTGTGTTTGGTGTTCGCATCGTCCTTGCTTTCTGAGGTTTCCCGACGCTCTATCGA